TGTATCAAGACCCAGTTCTTTTTGTGCTGTGCCTGATTTTAAAGGTAAATGTGTTGCCTGGTTCTGAAGGGATGGACAGGCTGCAACTACCTCCTGGGTCTTCTGCTTCAACCACATATCTGGGTCTTTTTTCTCTTTGATGAGGCATTAAGTTTTCCCAGATGTAAGCCAAAATTTATTATGTGTCATTCTGCACACACAGAGTGCATGGATAAATACCTTTACCAGTGTCTTGCTTGTTTATATGAAGCAGCCTTTGGCAGTTCTGTGTCATAGTTACTTGCAGTTTCAAAAAATGCCAGCTGTAGCTGGAGTAGGAAAGTTGCTTTGCAGAAAGCTTCATTAGAGTGGGATTTGAACTGGGTGTGCTGGAATAGTTCTGTGTCTTTAGAAGTTAATTTATAGCTGGACTAAATCCTTTACATGCCCTCAAATCTGTAGTCTATTAGACAACTGTCTACAGAAATATCTTTGGATTTCAGCAGATTAGTCCTCAGAGTTTATTTTGGAAAAATAGAGAGATCCTAAAAATGGATGGACTGCCTCACTGGGAAATTGTAAATGGCATGGATATTTTGTTACAGAAGAATCAGTATCTTCTGATGATAAGAATAGTGTAGTGAATAAAAGTGATAATAAAGAAGGTGGAATCAACCACATGTCTTTACTCTGGGCACTAGCTTAGAAAGTAAGACAGACTTTTTTTTTTTCCCCACTGACTTATTTGAAGGCTGGATCAAGTATTGAAGTAACTTGAAAATTAAACAGTATTTTTCAAACTAGCTGTTTTTAATTTCTGGTAGATTAATGCTAGAATCAAGGCCCACTTTCATTATCTTATCCATTTGAACTGGACTTACAGAAATTTATTCCTAGGGCTATCATGCAAGCCAGGGTTAGAGAAAAGGGGAAAAATAGTCAGCACATCTGTAATCACTACTGATTTAATTATACTTATTTACATATGTTTTTTTCTTCCCTCTGCTGTGCTTTTTTATATTAATGCTGCAGAGATTTCTTACCTGTTAAGCAAAACCATCTAGTGCAAATGAATTTATTTGCAAGGCCCACTGCTGGTTAAGTTTGCCTTCATTTAGAAAGCTTCACTTTCTGTTCAGGATTTTTTTTTTTTGAGTTTTTGCTTGATATATCATCTCATTAATAGGTGCCATACTCCATAAATGTGGGATGAATTCTGAAATGTCAGGATAATATGGAAGAGATGTAGAGTCAGGACATGTATTGTAGTTTTTCTTTTGCAATGGTGTATTGCATTGCAGTCACTTCAGGACAAAGGAAATCAATGTTGTTGTGTCCATGGGAAAATGCCTTGGAAATAGATTAAAACCTGTTAAAATAATTTGCCTGGATTTAGTGGATCTGTCAAATGAAGCAATGCAAATAACTTCTGAGTCTTGGAACTGAATGGCAGCAGGGCAGGGGGAGGGGGAAAGGCTGATTAGGAAGAAATGGGAGGAGGATTAAACCAAACTTTCCCAGATTAGTCTGCTTAGCAGTGCAGTATTACCACTAGGTCAGCAGAGCATTTTACTTGCTTCCTGTTCCTTATGCAATGGAATGTGTTTCAGCTTGCTAGCTTAATTTTTTTTTTTTTTCAGTTTTTGGATGTGTGTCTGTTTTGTTTTGATTTTTGTTTGGTTTTTTTTTCCCCAAACGATACAATGAATAATTTTGTACCTCTAATGGGAACTGAGTCTGGCAGGTGTTAGGAGGGAGGATGAAGGACCAAGGGTTAACTTTTCCACATGGGTAGAGATTGAGTAACAAGTTTGTGGTTCTGACACAAAGACCAAGCTTGGTCTGACACAAAGAACTGAGCCAATAAATGAAAAATGTGACCAGCTGGCAGCAGTGGTTTGTTAGTAATACATGAAACTGTTGTCCCCAAATCAGCCTAAAATCCCAAAGTAAGTTTTGTGTCAGGCACACCTCTCAATTTGTTCTGTATCTGGAGTAATAAACTACGAATGCCTGCTTGGGGTCTGTAATGAACTGTTGTCACCTGGTTGTGTACTTGGTAAGGTGTTGTTCATTTACACCCCTTTGAGATCCTCAGGGTTTCTGTGTTCTCCCATTATCCTGTCACATACTGGAGACCACTCCTGGGGAGTGGTGACCCCTGGAAGATGCTTATTCCACACACCTCTTTACACTGCCAATCTTCAAACTGCCCCATGCAGATGAGTAGTGATGCCCTTTGAATGTTAAGTGAAGAAATTGAGGATTGATTCTAAAAACCAAACTGGTATAAGCTTTGTGGATGGTGAACATAAAAGAACAGGGTGACTTTGGATATGGGGATTTTGTTTCTTTGTTTGTATCAACCCATTATTCTGAAGCTTCTTGTAGTGTTAGCAGACTTAGGCCAGAAGCATGTCTTTTCCAGATTCAGAGCAGATCACGAAACTGCAGACTTTGCAGGAATAAATAAATTGAAACAAATGGGGAAAAGAGGCATGTTTCTGATACTTGGTTTATTTCTAAAGATTTCTCTCATCCTGATCCAGCTGTACAGTTTATAGGTGGCATCACAGTTGTTGTGTGAGGACTTAGAGCTGGGTAGGAACTGCAAGAAGACTGTCTTTGAGATTGTGTTTATGAAAAAGATGCCAGGTCTGAGAACTTCTGCTTGTTTTTTGTAATATGAATTTCCTCCCACATTAATACAAACAAACCCTTTAAATATCTTCTGTATACTTGCAGGGAGTCCTGTCCTCCCTGTCATAAACTCATTGCTTGCTAGCTCCCACTTTGAAGGTGGCACAGTCTCTCTGGTGTTCTTACTGCTTGGGGACAGATAATTAAGCCTCATTCCTATCCATGTCTGACCCCTTAACAGGGTTTGTTTTTATTATAAGGCAGAACATCCTTTTCCATCCTCTAGCTTGGGAAATACTTAAATACCAAGTGTTTGTGTAAAGCTTTTTCATTGTAAAAACTACGAAATCTGTAAAACCTCCTGCAAATCTTACAGGAACCATTGGCATTACTGTTGTGTGAAAATGTGCTTATTAATAATTGGGCCGAGACAAGAAATAAGACTAATCCATCACTGTGAAGTGAGAATAGTCATGGGGTTTGCATGATCTGAGCATGGGCCCACATTATCTTAGCTCTGAACTCCTATTGGTACCTCAGGAGCCTCTGCTGTGCCATATCCTCCTGCCTGGGAGTGTTATCACCATGGTGTTTTCAGATGGTCAAAATTACCTCATTCAGCTTTTCCTGTCCTGTCTTAACATGCAGTGACTGGTTTGGTTTGGCTTTTTTATTTTTCCCCTGAGCACTTGAGCACCCTTTAACACTGGCTGAACGTTGGGCCCTTCTGCCCTGTGCACCCCCATTCCTGGCGTGCCGAGGCTGAGCAGAAGCACCAGGCTGTAATGCAGTATGTCACAGGTGACAGCAGGCCAAAGCAGAGGGTGTTTCAGGGTCTCTGGCCCACATAGTTCACTGTGCTGGGCTCTGCTTGCTCAGGATGACAAGGGACAATAAATCAGCACACAAGCTCTGTCCTAGTTTTAATGGTTTTCTGTATCAGCCCTAGTAAAAAGGGCTCTGTTGAAGCAGTTCAGAGATCTGCTCCTAGTTTTACAAACTCTCCATATATTTGAAGACAGGAATAGTTTGTTAAGTTTAAAATTAAATTTAAAGTTACTGGTTCTCTGCGTTTCTGAGGACAAGAAGGATCTGATAGGGGTTAAGACAGATGTCAGTTACCCCCTTCCCTTTTTTCTTTTATTCTTGTTTTAAGTCCTCATTAACAGATCAGGGACAGAGCAGTTGATCTAGTGTTAGGAATACCTTGATTAAAGATTGACATATCCAAGTGCTTGTCTGGTTTTTCCAGCTGTCAGGTAAAATTACACAACTGCTCTACAAATCTCACCTGGTGTAAGCACATCTTAAGTGTGTGTGTACTTTCAGGAAAAGAGAGATGTGCTGGTTTGTGCTCTTGTAGCCACTTAAAGTGCTGTAATTACATTGGTACATTCCCTAAGTGTGAGTGCATTATGAGGCACATCTTCTGGTTCACTTTATTGATGTAAGTTTTGGGGAGAGATTATTAACCTGTATGAAACATTCTTATGCTGATATGGCAGCTTACATCTTTGAGGTTGTTCTAGTTTTCTTATATTATTGTGATGGGGAGAAACCCAAGCCTAGAACCAAATGCCCAAATCTTAGCTCTATTCAAAGTAGTTAAACTGTAGATGTGAAGTATGTACCTCCTACTGCTGCTTCTCTGTTGTCATGGTTTAAGCCCAGCTGGAAATTCTGCCAGCCCTGTTTGTGGGGCTTGCTCAACCACATTTCTTTTCCCCTCACCCCAGTGGAATATGGAGGAGAATCAAAGTAAAACTTGTATTTTACGATAAAGGAAGTTTAATAATTGAAAATAAAGTAAAATAATAATGGTAAATTATAATAATGGTAATAAAAAGGAAAAAAAAAGGTGATGCACATTGCAGCTGTTCACCACCCACTAACTGATGCCAGAGCTCCCTTCCTGAACCCAGACTGGCCTCCCTTTAGGGTACTTGCCCCAGTTTATTTACTGGGCATGATGTTCCATGGTGTGGAATATCCCATTGGTCCTTTTGGGTTGTCTGTCCCAGCTGTGCTCCCTCCCAGTTTCTTTTGCGTGCTCTCTCACTGGCTGAGTGTAGGACAAGGAAAAAAATCATTTACTTAGGATAAACATGACTTCACAAAAAATCCAAAACATTAGTGTGTTTTCAGCACTATTCTTACTCTGAATCCCAAACACAGCGCTGTAACAGCTGCTGAGAAGAAATTAACTCTATCCTAACTGAAAGCAGGACGTCTGCAGGTATTTTGGAACTAGCTGTTTGCACACAACTGAATGTTTGTCAAAGCAGTTTCAGATTCAGTCAAGAAGTTGCTAACAAAGTAGTGGTAACAGCAGCACTGGGGACCTTTCATTATTTCTATTAACATGTCATTTTTGTTTGTAGAATGAAATGTGTCTTGCCACACAACAGCTTTCGAAGCAGCTCCTTGCCTATGAAAAGCAGGTATGTTCAACACATGACTTTGATTTCTTCTCTGCCTCAGCACTTGTGAAGAAGTCTCTAAACTGTGTTTTCTGGAAGTGCTCAGGGCATTTGCTTTACTTGGTTTCATGTGAAGGCAGTTGTGACTTTCCCCAGGATGTTCAAGGGAGTTGGGTCATTTCTGAGAATCTTAAAAAAATAAAAGAACCACATTAGAAAAAACCCAAAAAGGTACAAAATCTGAGTTAATAAATTTATGAAGATACAAGTCAGTTTGTTCCAGTTCTATGACTTGAAAATGAATATAATAAGAATTAAGTGTTGTTCAAAATCCATTCATTTAATACAAGAAGAGCAGCGTAAAAGAGTGTATATTAATGATCATCTGGTTTTACATTTATTTTAGCATTTGTTGCATTTTGTAGAAATATTCATTAGATTTGTAGTAAAACATGTATTGTATTTTATTTTCGTCTTTACTAATTTATGGACCAAATGTGTGTTTATATTTCCAGCATTTTGCCTTAGGTAAAGGAGATGAAGAAGTGATATCCACCCTCCATTATTTTTCAAAAGTTGTGGATGAGGTAATTTGAATTGCTAATATTCTCTTTTTACCATACAGAATATTAGTGTTTTTTCTTTGGGTCTCTCCTTTTGATTCAGAGCCTTCCCACTGAAGGCTAGATTGTGCCTGAGTTTTAGAGTAGTTTAATTTTGGATAAAGAAGTTTGATACCACCCTTCTGTAATGGTTGAAGGTGTTTCTGTGGCTTCATCCCATGTTCTGTCCTCAGAGCAAGGCTGAATTTCCTAGGGGAACTTAAAGAGGGACTAAAGCAGGATGTGTCATCTAGGCTAGGGCAATCTTTTACATAATTCCATATTAAAATGATACGTTTCTAAGCTTTAAACGCTGCAGTTTGAGCCAAAACTTGCTAGGTATGGATGCAGGGCAGCTGTGAATTGGTAAAGTTGCAGTTCAGTTGCTGTGAGATCATGCAGAATCCAGAGATGTCTGGGGAAGGCTGCAGTACTGTGAGGTGAAGACAGTGAATCTGTGTGCAGTGAATACCCCCATGCCCTCCAGGTTTCTACTAAGTACTGAAGTGTTTGTAAATGCTTTTGGTAGACCTGCCCATATAAAATTTCAGTATGGTCTTGATATCTAGGTCCTTCTTGCTTAGGTTTCATCATATCACTCTCTGCTGTGAGCAGTGCTGTGCCATCAGAAAATCTGTTCTTGTTTGTCTACTTCCAACTTTGATTAAGGCGGCAAAAGGTTGTACTGTTTGGTCTGCTCTTTGGGAGAGGGGAGAGGGTTGTGGGACAAAAAGTAAGTAAAAAATTTTAGAGCCCATGGATAACTCTGAGGATGTAGTAAGAGGAATCCCAAAGGTTTGCTTCTTTTTTAGGCTTTTCTTGTTGCATGTGTGTTCTCAGGATGCTTGAAAGGAGCATTTTTTATCACAAGTCTTGCAATTGCTTATGTGAGCTCCAAATAGATCAAAACAAGAGCTTTCCCCTTCCCAGGTTCAAGAGAATGGTGCTGTTTGGGGGCAGAAAGCTGAAAGTAGCTGCTCAGTTTTGTCAGTCACATTTTCCCTGAGGAGAACTTGCTCCATTCCTTGGCCTCCTTTTCTGTGTGTTAGCTTCCCTTGTTCCTGTTTTAGTTGTCTGTTCTGTCAGCATTGAATTGTATTGTCTCGTGGGAAATCCTCAGTTCACCCTTACCTGCTTGAGGCTGCCTGGAGGTATCCAGGACACTGAGCAAACAGGCAGGAGGTCACCTCAATGTGTGGCACCTTCCTGGTGCTCCTGCAGTGGGATTGATAGCTGTCCTACCTGCACACATCTCGTATTCTTAGCAGGCCACTGTTGACATGAGAGCCTTGCCTGCCTTCATCCTAAATGGTCCACATGGGTGCTTTAAAACAGCTGTGTGCTGAGGTTTAGAAACACACAAACAGGAGTGAAGGTACTTCATACAAAATACAAACTACTATTAAGGAAAAATATTTGAATGGGACCTTTTGTTTTGCATGCCCCCTGTTGTGATTGTGTCCTGGTTGACCCTTGTTCATGGAAAGACACTGTAGTTGTGATGGTGGGGCTATAACTCCATGGCATTCAGACTTAACAAAAACAGGTTAATAAAGGATAATTTAAATCCCGTTAGGTTAAGCATTAGAATTAATGGTCAAGTGAATTGGCCTAATCCATTATGTGGGAACTGAGAAGTTCTTGGATCCTTGGGAAATACCAGGCCGGAATGAAGCATTTAGGGAGACATCCCCATCTGTCTCAGATACCATGAGAAGTGTATTTCAAGCATTGAAGTACATTATATCCACTGGACACAAGTGGCTGGTGTGTTTTGATGTTCTCTGTGGTTTGGGGTTTTTTATGTACATTGTGTCTTAGAACAGTTCTCTGTTTCAGCTCAATATTCTTCATTCTGAACTGGCAAAACAGCTTGCAGATACAATGGTTCTCCCAATAATACAATTTCGAGAAAAAGATCTCACAGGTAAATTATATTCTAAGTTTCAGATTTCCTTATATGCTCCTTCTTGTTTATTTCATCACAAACTGAGACATAATGCCATGTATTAATTTGTTCTTTGATGATTCACAGAAAAGTTTGTGGGGTTTTTTTTCTGCTATTTCAATTTCATTGACAGGTGCATGCTCTTACTCAGACAAAACCAGTTCAAGTTCACCACATAACATTTTATGTACCATATGGTGCAAGTTTAAAAATACACAGCTTTGTTCTTTGTTGGGTCACTGTGTTTTTATACTAGTGTAGTTTCACTGAAGTCACTGATGTAATTCCCAGAAGGGAAATTTAGCAGTGAATTGGGCTTGCAAACAGTATTTATTCCACTTCAGAAGTTTGGGGCTGTTTGACAAGCACAAGCAAGAATGTTCTTTTAACTTCAGAGAATAGTATATTCCCTCCTTTTTAAGGAATCAGTCCTCTTTAAATCCTTGCCGTGCAAGGGTAGTTCCATGCAAATTACCTGATTTCACAAATTTGGGATTTCATTACTTAAACAGCAAGGCAGTAACACAAAAATTTTATGTAATCACAAAATAAAAAAGCTTAAATTCAAGGTCAAGGACAGTCTTACCTACTTATGCCACAGAAATGTGAGTTTTTGCAGCAGCATTTCTTTCTTTCTCTTATTTTTTAAAGCCCACTGCTCATTTCACTTTCTGCAGTCCCACTTATGTCCTTCTTGCAGACTTCATTTTGATGTGAGACAAAATGACTACAGCAAAGCAGTGATGGTTTAAGTTCCTTATAGGATCTGATTGGAAATTATGAGGACATCCAGGTGTCTGTGTTAACACTACATTTTGTATCATATGCTGTCAAATATAAACCAGAATTTGGATGGTAAGATGTTGATGGTATAAACACTTCCTCACCTCTTTCATGTTGCCTCAGAGATAGTAATTATTTTTCCATATTTATGGATTCTTCCCTCTTGTTCATTAAAAAATACATGAAAATGAACATGAAGCCTGCAACCACAGCTTTAGCTGCTGCATGACAAAAAAACTGAAGTTTGTTCAACTTCCTTGGATGTCAGTTTTTTAAAAATTCTATCTACTTTTTCTGATGCAGTCTGTAGAACAGCATTTTCAGTGGAGACCTGGCCACACTGGAATGTCATAGAGGGGTTCCACAAGGCAGCAAGGAAGAATAACTGTGTTACTGTTTTTACTTTTGATCCTGTTACATCTATACATTGAATATTTTAGAAACTTCTAAATACAAGTTACTTACAAATGGAAAAATCTTCTGTCTTTCTTCATCTGAGTCATAATGAAGCATTCTGGGGGAAAAAAAAGCAGAGTGAAACTGATTAATGAGTAGGATGTTAAAAATAATCAGAGACCATGATGGCATTCTACAGTTTCCCCTTGGTATTTTCACAGTTGCATAATGTCTGTTCTTGTAAATGTGCTTTCTTTGTAGCTTTTTGAGAGAGATTTTACCAGTTGCAGCATATATTGGTGGGGGTACTAAGAGTAGCTTGTGCCTGACACTTGTGAAGTTACCGTGCCTCTTCAGCCTGTCTTCTCTCTACCTGTATCAGAATTTCATGGCCAGTATTTGTAATGCAAGCATCATACCCAGCAGTCAGGTGTGTTGGATACAGATTTATTTTCACAGAGCAGCTTAGCAAAAATGTTCCACACTGAGGGACATTCATATACAGGAAGAAGGCTTTAGTTCATACATCCATGGGTCTTAAATTTCTCAGTATCACATAAGCACTGTCAGATTGTTCAGGACTGCTGATCTTGCATGATAGTGGCGGGCCTTTTGTCAGAATAAACGTACTGAAATGGGGTTTCTTTGGAGAAATGACACTGGCAGATAAGGCATCTTTCTTGGAGTGACAGCTTGCTCAATAAAATAAACTCACTCCACCCTTAATTAGCTATCTGCCTATTCATTTCTCTAGCAGCTCATCTGGTTTAGCATTTGCAAGACAGGCACAATGTATACATCTCTGCTGTGGAAGGGCTGGAGTGACTTCGGCAGTAAATATGCCATAAATGGTCTCAGTTGAACAAAGTGTTCACAGCTGGTTTTACTTTGAATATTTGATTTCTCTTTTCCAGAAGTAAGCACGCTGAAGGATCTCTTTGGCCTTGCTAGCAATGGTATGTGTCCCTGTTTTGTTTCTATTCATATGCAGCTGCTAGAGCAAAGAAGACATGTTTAATCTGTGCAGATACACATCACATTTCTAAAAAAAAATAAATATTCCTTGTCTACAGAACATGACGTGTCCATGGCAAAATATAGCAGGTTACCGAAAAGGAAAGAAAATGAAAAGGTAACAAATGTGAAAGAGAAAATAGAATGTTTTCATCAGCCATTCTGTCTACATCCTTGTTCACTGTGAACTTTGGAGAGTTCATTGCTTAAATTCACAGTAGCTCAGGAATACTTGTGATTTGTTTCCAAGCAGACACAAGGCTTTTAAACATCAACTCAGCACTTACACCCGTTTTCTCCAAGTTAGGCAAGTGATGAAATATTGTGCTCAACTAGAGCCCTTCAGATCCATGGGAGCTTTTCAGATAGAGGCAGTCCAAGTGACTATAAATAGCTTTGTATAGGCCTAGTGTTGTACAGCTGAGGTGGTGATGCAGTATCACTGAGCACAATTCATTGTGAACTGCCATGAAGCCTTGTGTCTGCTGTTCCTAAAGCATTGCATTTCTTTGCATGTACCTTCCTGTTCAATTACTCTGTATGGCCTGTCATTCCACTTAACAGTGCACATAACTCTCTTGGTGGGATTATTTTATATTCCTCCTTCTTTGCCCACTGGACTGCTATTCTAAAATACATCCCTTTGTCAAAAAGTGTATGGCTGGCCCTGTCCTGAGAGTGAATCTGTTCTACAGGATGGTTCTTGAAAGGAAATGCCTTACGGAGCACAGTGTGGTATAGCATACTGTGAATTACTCACCTCTGAATTCTGCACTTGCAGACTTGTGTTCTGATCTCAGCTGCAAATAAATTTCTTGCACAGAGATCTGATCCGTATTTTTAGTGGTGGTAGTTTTACATAGTTTGTAGTCACTACAAACTCCAAATGCTTTAGTATCATGACAGTTAAGGGCCTGAAGTACCTGCCTTGGGTTTTAGATTTGCTTTCTTTGTTTCTCATCCTTCATTTTAACCTGGAGAAGTTCTGTAAAGATGATGATTTAAAAATAATTTGAAGATGATCAGTAAATATATCCATATACACAGTAACACTTTGTTAACCTCTTTTATAATTTTTTGTTCAGCTTAAGGCAGAAGTGGCAAAAGAAGTGGCAAATGCAAGAAGAAAGCAGCACCTTTCATCCTTGCAATATTACTGTGCCCTGAATGCTCTGCAGTACAGGAAGAGAGTGGCTATGATGGAACCTATGCTAGGATATACACGGGGACAGGTATTGACAGTAAAGTGTCTGTATCACTTAGACATGTTCCTGGGAAAGGTAAAACATTGTAGTTCTGGATTTATTTTGGGACCTGACAAATTACAGTGAGTGTGGTGGGGAAACAATTTGCATTCAGCTTGCCTAGATTCTAACAACAGATTTTGTTTGTGGCAGATAGTTGAATGTTTAGATATTCAGGAAAGATACTAATGAAAATCCAATACACTTCAATGCAAAATCAGCCCAGCGTTAGTTTTTTCACAGCTGAGCTAAATGCAGTAGCATTTACTTCCACTGTTTACTCAGTCTGCACAATCTCTCCTGTGTAGCAGTTCCCTTCCTGGCACATAATGTTCAGCATACTAATGAGGAGTGTGCACGATGAGGAACAGAGCTCTGGAGAGCTGGAAGGACAGAACAGTAGAGAGGATTGAGCATAAGGCTGGAAAATCATTTTTCTAATTTTTATTCTAACAGCAATTTGATAGAGCATTTCTCAAGTCTGACCCTCCAGCATATCAGGGGGATCAACCAACCAGTATTACACAGCACTTGATTCTCACTATTACCCATTTTAAGGGTCTTTGATTTTGATGAAAGAAAGTGTTTGGAAAATGAGAACTGGGCTATGAAAAGAGGAAAAATGGATGTGGTGCTCTGTTTGATATTTTAGTGTGGCTCATCATCATCTGCATCATCTGTCATTTGCAGCCCATGTGCCTCATTTAAAATAGGTAGTAAATGAGGATTTAGTCACTTTCCCCACCACAGGAGTTCACACTGCTTCTCTGCTGTAATTATCCTAAGTGAAAGAACTGCATTGGTTTCTTTACTGGAAACCAAACAGAACTTTCTTTCCCCATACTTCAGCTGGCAAAACTGCTTTATCTCAGTGCTTTATACAGGGAAGTCTCAGGTTGTCATGGGAATGACTGAATAACCAGAAGCCAGCTGATGCTTAAATATTGTGAACTGCCTTTCAGTATAAATATGTATTTTCTTAGTTAATTACTCAAGCATGTGTCTCCAGTTTCACATTTCCAACAAATGAGTAGGTCATATGGAAATTTTGGAAGAAGCAGTGGCTAATAGAGGGTTCATTTGACTGAAAACTGGCATCAACATATATCATCAGTGGAATTTAGAGCTCTTTCCTCTTGAAACAGGCTTCAGAAATAGAATAGGCAAATCATTCTTTAGGAGGCCATTCTTTCTGTCCTTTGTAAAGGGAGGCTGTGGTCTATAACATGGTTTCAGAAATCTGAATCTTGGGAATCCTAGGTCCCAAGGTTAGAGAAAGGGAGTGAAATCACAAGTAAAAGTGGATGAAATAGCTAATAAATTGCTTAACATCCAAGAATTTGCTTTTACATCTCTTCCCAGAGTAGGTCACTGATTTTTATGTGTTTATCCTAATTAATTGCACACACATCCTATCTGTTTCCATGTTTCATGCAGTTTCCAGTAGGCTCTAATGATGGCTGTGCCCTGCAGCAGACAATACAAGGTCAAGTCTACACCAAGTGTTTTGCTTTATTGTGTGCCTGCTGAGCCAGCTAAGAGAATTAATTTTCTATCACATAATGTGCACTTTGGCCATAGTAGCTTTTTTTTAGCTCCTTCAGTAGAACAAAACCCATGGTAAAACTGTAGTTGATACAACTAATTGCCCTGGAGGCTTCTGCAAGCACAGCTACACTTTGCTGATGGACTTTGCTACAGCACTTTGAAAACTGTCATCGTGGAGTTGGTAGTTCAGGTTGGCCTGCTAAATCTAATGGATGATTTGTGTCCCGTTCCCTTTGATAGGGTGACATTGCACACAGCAGTTCCTAACACCACGGGCCCCAGCCCTGCCCAGGGCTAGTGTGGGAGAAGCTACCTGTGCCCTTATTTGAGTCATTTAGCAAGTTCTTTGGAAACATACCTGTCAGCAGCCAGTAGCTTATCTGTGTGTGCAAGGGTGGAGAGTTGCAAAAGTGGGAAGTAGCAAGAAAGGCAACGCAGCTGTTTTGCCCATGTGTTTGATCACCTGCCAAAAGTTCAGTCATAATGGAAGCACTGTTAACACTCCCACAATCTGCTACTTGTCTGCCAAAGCCAAGAGAATCTTCAGTGCCCTTTTTCTTGGTATTTTTCAGATCAACTTCTTTAAGAAAGGAGCAGAGATGTTTTCCAAAAGGATGGACAGCTTTTTGTCATCTGTTTCAGACATGGTTCAGAGGTAACCTCCTGCTTTTGTTTGCTTTTGTCATTCCATTGGAGTCCGAGCAATAGCGCTCTAACCTTCAGCACGTACCAGAGAGTGCCTCTTTTTCTTTCTAATGAGATTCCTTCCATGCTTACATGGCATTGTTGGACATATTTTGTTGAAGTAACAGGTAGAAAGGAAGTGTTTGTACATGGAAAAGAAAATGCTGTCTGTACACTGAAGAGAGTATTTTTACAGTATAGTCAGAAACTATATACTGTAAAGTGTTCACATGCTTTCTTACATCCCTGTGTCTCTTCATGAACAGAAAAGCATGGAATTTGGGCTAGAAACAGGTTAACAGTATTAATATAATAGACTTAAGGTCTCTGAATTATAGGTATTTATATTTAGGGCCTAAAGTGTTTGATGGTGTAGCTACACAAGGCAAACTAAACTCCTTACCCTTGGGAACATATTTATTGCATCCAGTGTAGGCTGTATTAGTCCAGTGAGTTCAACCTACTTTGACTAAGTTTTAAATTTCAGTAAACTGCTTTTGTACTCCTAATTTTGTGATAATTTTTCTTACACCTCCCCTCCACATCCTCCACTTGTAGTGGAGAGTTTCTGTATAATTAAGTCCCTGTAAATATAAACTTTACACTTGAAATGTAAGCATAATAGAGAGGATATTATTCATAGAATGATAAAATGTTAAGGGGTTGGAATGGCTCATAAAGATAATATAGTCCCAACTGAGTTCTTGACTTTAATCCTTCATTCCTTTCATATCAAGCTGTAGCCAAATCATTACTTATTCTCACTCTGGTGGCACTTTAAATAATGGATACCTGTTAACTTGAGAACCATTCTACAAACAAGTACAGTAGATTATTTCACTAAATCATTCTTTACTTTTTGTACTTTTATACTTATATATCTTTGCACACTCACTTGTGAAATAAATCCCTCTACACTGTTTACACAGCATTTGTACAGACTGGAGGACAGATTTTAAATGCCATTGAAATCCTGACTTTTGTTTAAAAAGTCTGGAGCATCTTACTTGTGTCTTACAGGCACAGGGAGGGTCCTGCCATTGGATCCTCACCATAGAATAAGCCCTTGTTTTCCACAGTCAGATGAATTTGGGTTCTGGACAGTGTACAGTAGTAAATGGAAACAAAAATAGGCTGCTCAGTTATTTTGCTGAGCCTGGTTTTTGTGTTTAAAGTCTGTCAGACAGTAAAGCTTGAAAGTACAACTCAAATGTAACTAGTAAAGGAGTGTGATGTCTGTGGAAAAACCAAAAGAGAAGCTTGTAAAATTCTGAATGGCACTGTGCATCACAGAATGACTGACACAGGACAGGGTTTCATGACTTCAGTTTGCACAACCACTGAAAACTGTGCTGCCCATTCCTCTCCTTCCTTGGTGCTGGGCATCACAAGGCCTCAGTGAGTCAGGTCTGCTTGTTAGTCAAGCTGAAAGCTTTTCACTTGCATATTTGTTCTTTTGGAACAACAAGCTGATGTGACCCATTGTGCAGCTACAGAATTTTAGTGGCATTTAAAAGCATTTTCATTTATACAGTGAATATTGCTAATGCTGTAAAAACACAAGAGATATCTACACTAACACTAGCACATTCTCAGTGACCACTTGGCCTAATTGCCACAAATGCATATAACTTCAGAGCTGAAGTTTACTTCACTTTTCTTCCTGCCTTGGAGATGGGAGAAGCACATCTTAGGAAAAGGAATACAGCCTCAGAAACCACAAAGGTGCCAGGGATGTTTTATCAAAAGCATTCTGTGGTGCAACAAAAATGACAGATCAAAAAATTGATTGAAATAACACTGAAGTAAAAACTGACAGCGTAGTTCCATTGTATTTAAAAATGGAATTTAAATAATTCTTATTCTGACATTCAGTGATGGAGTGGAAAGGCATTAGCTTGCAAAATATGGTCTAATTTACTTCAGACCTGATGTTCTCTGCATCACACCAAAGCAGAACACAGTATTATAAACAAAGAATTAAAGCTAAAGTGAGACTTGAACTATAGATTTTGTTACTGTATTGTTCTGAATTCATGAAAATCCATGACCAGTTAGTAGGTGGTGTCAAAGCAGGAATTCCTGTGTGTTACAGCCTTGGAGGCATTAGACAGTTCTGAGAAAGCCAAGAGATCCTCTAGTACACCCTGTTTTGAACTATGCCATTATAGTAGGGCAATGTCTGTATGTGTTCATCAGTATAAATTCTTAGAAGCATTACTTTTAGAAGCTGTCTCTCAAAAAATAACTCTCTCAACATTTCTCAGTATCACAAAACAGTATTTCCTATAACATCTATTAGAAAAATAAATTCCATCTTTGCACTACCCTCCAAGGTAATCTCAGATGGTGTTTTTGTTCATTTTGGCTTACAGATGTTACCTGTATCCTGGTATAAATGGGTAATGATGGCTTTGGGTTTCTTTTTGTGTTGTGGTTTTTTTTCCAGTATACAAGGAGAGCTGGATGCCGAAGCTGAAAAAATGAGAATATCCCAGCAGGACTTAATTGCAGTTAATGAATCTGTTTACACCCCAGATTCTGATGTAACTTCACCTGCCATCAATAGAAATCTCATCCAGAAGGCTGGCTATCTAAATCTTAGAAAGTAAGAAGATTGTTGTTATCTCCTGATTTTGTTTAGTAGCTACATTTTTGGGGGAAAGGTCATAAAGACTCCTCAGGTATTGATGTTTGAGGGTCCTAAATCAGTTTGGTAGCTCTACTTTTCATCCTCTGAGTACCTCTGTCATCTTTGGAAATGTATTTTTGAAGCTTTAACCAAATTAGAGGCATTTGAGACTATTTTTCTGAAAACAGAATTTTGCTTCTGATTGAATGTACCTACAGGAAAAATTTCCTGCATTCAAGTGGCTAAAAATTAGAAGCTGATGAGACTGGGTTCAGATTGTTCCCAAATCTTAAATGAGATATGGTGTTTACAAAAGTAGCTATATTTTGTAGTTAACATATGTTTTCATAAGTGACCTCTTTTACATAAATAAAAGCCTTATGGACAATGCAAGTTTGTAACTTTGAATGTGTATCATATGTAGAATTATGTCTGCAGATTTTACATATAAAATTTTCCATAAACTTCCACACAAGTTGGGTATATTGGTGGCATATAATAACCCTATTTATGTGATTGATTAAATATCAGTTTATTATTTTGTTTATCCAGTAATTTTTTTCTTTGTGAGTGTACATCTAGTAATTTCTCTTAGTATTCCAAAAGCTGGATTACGCTATAATAGGACTCTATAGCTAAGCAAGAGATGGACTCTGAGATACTACTGCAGTAGATAATTTTTTATATTATGATTCTTTGTGCTGAAACTACATAGTATTTCATGTCAGTTACTCAGTACTCTTTTATTCCTTAGCTAGAAGATACGATTTTTAACTTGGATGTTTGGAATTAATTTATTTCTTCAGCTTTCATTACGGATTAGTTTCGTCTAGGAACAGGTGCTTCTTTTTCTTCTTAACAGAGATCACTAAAAAAATGCCAGGGTGAACATGAAATTGTTTAGTATCAGGCCATGTTTGCAGTTTCATACCTGTTACTTCTAAACAGTACTTCTAAAGTTCTAAACAGTAATGAGTCTTTATCACTGCACCTTCTTATCAGTAAAACAGGTCTGGTGACTACAACTTGGGAAAGACTCTATTTCTTCACTCAAGGTGGCAACTTGATGTGTCAGCCAAGGGGAGCAGTAGCTGGAGGATTGATTCAGGACCTGGATAACTGCTCTGTTATGGCTGTGGACTGTGAAGACAGAAGATACTGCTTTCAGATCACTACTCCTACAGGCAAAGCGTATGAGACGGGTTTTGTTTGAGGACAGTCAGTCACACCTACCCCTTCAGATACTCTTTCCTGTAAAACTTGCTTGGTGTAGTAGTAAGCTTTTCTGGGTTTCCAGAAGGGTGTTTCCAAATTAAAAGCATACCTTCCATCCTCCCCCACAAGTGCCTGAATGGACCTTGTGGTGTCTTTTAGCTGCAGCTTATTCCTGATTCTTGTTCCTTTGGTAGTTAATAGATGTAAAGCTTGGTGAAATTACTATAAGCACTGCAGTCAAACAGTCCTGGTGTCCACTGTTAGCACTTACACACTGTGTTTATATTTTAGGGGTATAACTCTTCAAGCAGAAAGCAAGAAAGAATATGAGGAGGTAAAAATATTTTCTTAATATTATTATTCTTGCATACAAGTGAGCTTGAAGACTTCAGTTTCATTTTTCCCTTCCAGTGGATATGTGCCATCAACAACATCTCCAGACAGATCTACCTTACTGACAATCCAGAGGTGGGAGCTTGTTTTGATCTTTCAGTCCATTCCTTCTACTTGCTCTCCCATTATTCTTCAACATGGTAAGGTAAGCTACATGTCTAAAAGAGCTGTTCTGTCTTGTTTTCATAGGCAGCTGCAATCAAATTAAATCAGACAGCCCTGCAAGCAGTGACTCCCATTACCAGCTTGGGAAAAAAACATGAAGTTCAGCACCCCAGGTAACGTTCTCCCTTGCATGGAGCAGGGACCGTGTGCAGTTGTATTGAGCCCAGGGCTGAGGGTTAGGAAGATGTTGGGCTTGTCACTGAGAAGTGTAGACACAAGTCCAGGACTCTGCTGGTAATGCAGCTGGGAATATAGACAGGGCAGGGAGACAAATGGCCACCTGTTGCTGAAAGTCAGCCCACACTCAGAGCTGATCTGTATTCAGGTTTAATATACCAATGTTTATTTTTGTCCTAAATAAGGTTTAAAAAAAGATTTTATTAGGGTCCTCAGTAACAGGTAAATAGGAAGATATCTTACATGTCTGCATAGTGGTTCAGTCCTGCTTTGTATTTTTGAATAATCTTGTTTCTCTTCCAGAGCAAAAGGTAGGGTGTCACTGATGGATAGAAACATAATTTTTTTCTACATTTGCATTTCAGCCAGACTGTAAAGAATATGGAAAATGACAAAATAATTCCCAGTGGATCAGCTGGCATTCAAGACTCCACACAACTCATTGCTCCCGGAACACCAATTCAATTTGATATTGTACTGCCTGCTATGGAATTTCTGGACCAGAACAGAGGTGGCAGGTATGGCCAGAGACAGTGATCCATCACTGTAACAGTTTGATTTCGGGCGAGATTAAGTATTGCAGCATCTGTTAGTGGTGAGGACCAGAATCTGTAATTCAAGTTTTAATTCTTATTTCACAGGCGTGCAAACCCATTTGGGGAATCTGAAGACAGCAGCAGAGATGAGGAGGAAGGTCAGTGCTTCTTTCATCCAGATAAAATCAGCCATGATTTTACCTACCCAGAGTCTCTTAAGAAAAGCACCTGACACCATGGAGCAGAAGTAACAGATCCAATAATAAAGTGACCTTCCTGTACTAGCATGTGTAGGACTTGGCCCTGGCTGTTCTCCTCTTCACCAGTGCCTGGAACCCACAGCCTTGTCAGAAAGCTGTTCTCAGAACCAAAGCAGTACCTACTGCTCTGAACTTCACCCTGCTTTCCCTTGCTCACCACCAGCCATAAAGGGAGCTTGATCAAGTGATGACTTTGCTGCATAATGGCTGCTTAGTTGTCATTAAATCTTCTAGTCACAGTCAAGGAGCAGGGAAGGATTTGGTGAAAACCTCACTGGGCCCAGCTGCATGGAAGGTCAGAAGGATATAGAAGAAAGGGAAGAATGTAAAGGCTTAATGGAAGCCAAGGCTTGTGCCTAGTCATAAATTCACCACAGTTTATATGCACCCAATAGCTAAACAGGCAAGGGAATTTTACTAGCTGATCAAATGAAGCATAAAGACTTTGACACTTCTAAAGCTTCCAACTGCAACTGCAGTAACTTCCTTCCCCACCTCCACACTGCTGCCTGTTCACACAGTTTGAAACTGGGTCAGGGCACTGTGTGACTCATGGCAGAAAGCCACCACTCATGACGGTCACCAACCACAGGCTTACTGTTGAATTTCCAAAGTGAATAAAATAATTCCATTGATACTTTGAGCTACTGGAAAATTGAAATAGCACAGTGAAGGAAGTCGTGGCTTTTCTCTTGCAGATTCCCTGCTGCAGCAGATGTTCGTGGTTCGGTTTTTAGGGTCCATGGCCGTGCAGTCCGACGAGACGTGCGAGGTGATTTACGAAGCCATGAGACAAGTGCTGGCTGCTCGGGCCATTCACAACATCTTCCGCATGACTGAATCCCACCTCATGGTCACCAGCAAGAACCTGAGGTACTGTAAAAGCCTTAACTTGTCAATAGTCTGTTCTCTTCATACAGTTTGTGATTTATTATGTATTGTTTGCTTCGTTTTTCTAAGACACACAACCTTTGAGGAAGCAAGATCCCAAGAGTCACCTTACCTAGAAAGAAATGTCTCTTTCCTTATTCTGTGGTACCTAGAAATGATCATCCAGACCAATTGTAAGAATGTCCTATCAAAATCTAAAGGATGTATTGGGGCTACAAGACCCTGCAAAGATAAAAAAGAAAGATGCAAAACAATGACTGTTTTGATGTAAAATCTCTTTCCTAACGCTGTCCTTTGACAGTAGTGTCACTGTAGAATATGCTGATGTCAGACATTCCCTTTAGGTGGGGTGTGTTTGTGTCCCTCTGCATTTTGTGTTAGCTCATGCACTCAGGATCCTTTCCAAGTGACTCAGAAAGGTGCTCTGACCTTTTCCTGTCAGGCAGGTGAGAGTCAAGGCTGAGATTTGAATCTTGCCAGTCACAGCTACAGCACCTGATTCTGTGCATATGTTTCCTCATCTATAAAACTGCTGGAGTTACTGCTTTTCTATTATAAAGGCCCTTGAAATTACCAGAAATCACTCTAAAATAATTTTCTTCTTTTTTTCCTTACATGTAATTGCAGGTTAATAGATCCTCAAACCCAAGTTACACGAGCAAGCGTAAGTAACTTTTTCTATCATAGCAGTGACTACTCAGTTAGATGAACCTGAGCTAACCTAACTTGAGCTGGTTAAAACAAATAAATAATTTATTTTACTTTTCCAGTTTGAACTCACCACTGTGACACACAGCAGTGACTACTCAGTTACATGAACCTGAGCTAACCTGCTAACTTGAGCTGGTTAAAACAAATAAATCATTTATTTTACTTTTCCAGTTTGAACTCACCACTGTGACACAGTTTGCTGCCCATCAGGAGAACAGGAGACTGATTGGCTTTGTGATCCGCCTCAGTGAGACTCTGGGAGAAGAATCCATGAGCGCATATGTTTTTGAGAGCAACACAGAAGGGGAAAAGGTTTGTGTAATGTTTAATAAAATAATTTGTTTAGAAAACAGGTCTGTGGGTTCTTGGCTTACACATCTGGGAAACAGTGCTCTAGAAGCAAGAGCAGCTCAATTTCTGGCCAAGAAAACATGTGTTAACATGCAAGCCTTTACTGGCTTATGTCTAAAAGGGACCAAATGAACAGATAATGCAGCAGCAAGTATAAGGAGGAAAGGAAGGGATTGCTAATCCCAGCATTTAGAGGTGGGAAAGTGCTGTGCAGGAGCAGCATGAACAAAAGGAATGTCACTATGTTGAGACAGGTACAGCTGTGAAGCTTTCACAGACAAGGCAGCCATATGTGCCAACACCACTGACTGCTGCCTGTTGTAACAGAAATAAGTGGGATGGAGAACTTTCGTTCCTACAAACACTTACATGCACTCCCTCAAGTGTGGAAATAAAGTCTGGTGACTAAAACTGGCCAAGCTGAGTACAAAGATTTACCATCCCCTGTGAGCTTTGAAGCTGAACCCGAGATAGTTTTCTTTACCAGTAGTTAATTTGCATAGCAAATTAGTATTCCACCTCTGCTTTTTAGGCCTGGTTTGAACACTAAGTCTGCACTGAAGTTGTGTGGTTTACTCTTAATCAAGGGAATGGAACTTTACATGTATTTTTTTCTTTGTAGATTTGCTATGCCATTAGCTTGGGAAAAGAAATTATTGAGGCACAGAAGGTAGGTTTGTTTCATCCCCCACATCTGTATGATACATCATGTTCTGGTTTCTAGCTGCACTGTCCAGGTGCATAAGAAAAATGAACTGCTACTCCTAAGGGCAAAGTTTTGCAGGCATTATTTAACATAGCAAAAATAAACTGTTTGATTTCTCAGTAATGTGATTTGAGAGAAAATGTGCCACCCCGGTCCAAATTCAAAATTACACAAATCCAAATGTTCATGTCTGAAAGAAAGGTGTGAGCAAAGTTTTCAAAAAACCAAACACACTCTTTGGGGATGATGTGTAAATCACACACACTGCTGTTTCACTTTTAGAAACTTAAATTCTTTCCTCACCTAGGCAGGAAAATCAGTGTTTTTCCACTTAAAATAAATGGCAGTTACCCTGTCCCTTGTAGATACATTTTATCTGTATAGATGTGACATTATTATTTGCAGTATGTTTTTGCTGCTAAGGTTTCAGAACCAGTTGGGGAATGAGCTTTTAGTCACAACCACTAAGCACATGTATAATAAATTCTTCAGACAGTTACTTTTCTCCTTGTTCCGTAACTAAAGAACAGCAAAATAAAGTCTCAAAAGAATTACTTTTTTTTTCTTCTTAAATATTCAAGGGTTATCTTTACTTACCCAAAAAGGTATTATTTATGTTTCAAATCTTTATTCTACAGCTTGTTAAAAAAACCCAAAGTTGCAAAAGCTTAGCAAGAAGTACTGAGAAATGTGTGTTCCTCAAAGGCTGCTGCAGCTTGCTGACCTCTCTTCTTTTTCTTCAGGATCCAGAAGCATTAGCTCAGCTAATGAAGTCTGTGCCATTAACAAATGATGGGAAGTTCATGCTTCTGAATGACTTGTCAGAAGAGGATGGAACCATGCATGAAGGAGGGGAGGAATCAGAAGTATAAGCAGCTCCTGTCACTTCCTGCAGCCTGTGTGGGAGCAGAAAAGCAGGGAGTCTCTTTGCAAGAATCTCTGGTTTTCAGTCACCTGCGGCCAGCTGCCCTTTCCTGCTGCAGCAGAGTCCCTCTGGATTTACAGTGAAAGCACAGCAGGACTCGAGGCATTTAGCATTTGTGAATGTGTAGGGTGGAACTGTGTCTGGGGAGCTGACAGTCCTGAGCAGGAGGCCAGTGCTGCTGGTGGGCAGGAGAGCACAGCTGTCAGCCACCGAGGGTTAATGGTATTTCTTACATTTACAGACCCTGCAGCCTCTCATTCCCCTGAAATTTGTGTGAGCTGCCAGCTCCTCTTACAAATATCAGGCCTCAAACTTCCCACCATAGTCAATTTTCATAGTTTGCATGATTATGTGCATCTGAATGAAGGTTAAAAATGCACTATCTACTTTATTTCAGATAAAGTTATTTTTAGTCTAGTTTATGTGTAACAAGATTTACCTTTTGTGTTAGCCTATTTACAAAACAATTTGTTAAACACTAAATTTTTCCTATTAATATAAACTATTTTTATATTGCATCTAGAATAAGCTTACAAAACAAATTTAAGTGCCTACTCTTACCTTTCAGGGGACTGCACTCTCACATTCTGTAATTAAATAATGGAAAAATTGTACCTTCTTGATTTATTATTCTAAATACCACTGACATGCAAACCTCAGAAGTAGGCAATGAATGTGGCATGTTAGCTGTGTGCAGTTTTTCTATGGTTAGGTTTGTTACCAGAGATGGTAATAGTAGGACAAATAAGTACTTTTATAGTAAAAATTCTTTGTATATTTAACATTGTGGTGACATGCAACAGCTAAGTCTATCACAACCCTTGGTTTTAAGAAACTGAGCAATAAAATGTTAGATTACAAGTCTACAATGTATTGACAAGTCTCATAGTACATTCCTGAGACTGGACACTAGAGAGATTTGGCTGATAAGTTTACATTTTTTTCCATCCTGAAAACATCAGCAACATCACTTTGCAAGAGCAAACAAAATAGACAAAATGAAGACCTGTTAGTGGGGGGAGGGTGTAATCTGTAGTATAGTTTATATTAATCAAGATAAGGTACCTAGAAAAAATGGCTGGAATTCCTCAAACTTAATTTAACTCTTCTCAGTCATCAAGAAACTAGATTTTCCATAAGCAGAATCTATGCAACAGTATCTGAAAGATCCCAGATTGGAAGTGTTTGACGTGGAATAAATCTAACTGAACTGGTTATTTAATGTTTAAAAGTACTGTGGAAGAAAACTGTTAGTAACTGACACAAAAACTTCTTTGTAAATAAAAGCTGAAGCTGTCTTATTAAGAAAATTATCACCCACTGAACTGGTGTTACTGAAAACACTGGGAATGAGGTTCTCAAAATCGCATTTATTAACACAGTTTTATATACATAATGTTCTCTACTCACAAACCAAAGAGACTGGAGTAACAAAATACCCTTTTGTACAATGAGTTAGGAAACATTAAGTATTACATTTGGTCCTTTGTACCTGAGAAGCTGAAAACAGCTGTTGATGGACGTCTGATGCAACTCACATGTTTTCCTGGTTCCAGGCTGCATTAGGACCTGCAGAAGGTGCCCTTCAGCACCAGGAGTTTGAGTACTGGGGCCATGCAAACCCTTGGTGGCAGGGCTGAAGGGAGCTGGGTGTCCACAACCCCTCCGAGAGCAGCTGCTGCACTTCCAGCAGCCTTGGCACAAGGCTGAACACCTGAGGGCAGTGGTGACAGCTGCCTGCTGGGGGGACAGCCTGGCCTTCAGCCTGTTCCTGCCCTGCCCCGAAGGAAAAAGCCCCTAGACATGTTTTATGTCCCTGCAGAAAATTCATCATCCTCACTTCTGTCACTCCTGGGAATTTCTGAGTTAGCATGTTTGGCTTAGTGTAGGGATTTTTTGTTTTAGCTCCATTGTCTCCTCTCCAGACAACCGGTTAGGGTCCATTTGGTTCCTGTAATTGTAACAGGAGGCCAAAAGCAACAGAAATAGTAGCACCACAGCGTGAATTTTGCCCCCCCTTCCATATCCTTGTTGGGAGAAAAAAAGGACTTAATGCAACTCAGTCACGTGACATCCAAACCCAGGACCCACCTTGGATTTCAGATGAGAAAAATCTTTCTGCATGTCTATGCTGCTACATGACAAAGAGAAAGAAGGAAATACAAACTACAGTCCTGTATTAGCAAGAATAGCTCTATTAGCACTGTACATGTTTGTGTATGTATATATTTTTGCCACACAGAGTATACATTCAGTTCTCCCAGATAAAACAGGCATCTATAAAAATAGGCTATGTCTTTCCTCTAGAATTTCCATCACCAGAACCACGTGAATTTGCTAACCACTGTGCATGAAGGCAGTGCTCAGTTCACGTTATGTTCAACTGCAAAGTCTTACCTTAGCAAGGCAATGTCTTTCAAAATTAAAAATGGAGAAGGGAAAATACAAGTACAGACTAGAGTGTGGGTTGTGTCTTGACTCCACACAGCTCCCTAGCAAGGCCATCCTGGGGAAAGGAACACCATCTGTGGGTGCTTCTGCCATTGCTGTGGAAGAAGGAAATGCAGCACTTGGCCATTCCACTCCACAAACTTGGGTGACTCCAGCAGAGATGGGAATGCAGAAGGATGTGCACAGCAACTGCAGCAGGATGGGAAGCAGCAGCAAGAATGCTGATCTCAGCAATGCTGCTGAGCATTCAGTGCGGGCACAGTTTGGTCAAAAAAAATGCACACTAATTAAAAAAAAAAAAAATCCAGTATCAAAGTAAAGAAGCAAAAATATAAATCAAGTAATGCAGCATTCTTTAGGGCAGTTATAAAATAAACTAAAAATAAAAACTTTAATGAGCCCAGCTGATTTTAACAGTCCTTGAAGCTTGTGTGTCATGTTCTCAGAACCAACAAATGGAACGTTCGTATCAGTCTGGTCTTTCCAGTTGCAACAAAACATTCATCCTTGCTGTCTGAATGTTGAAGTGACTGGCAGGAAAGGGTGAATCAGAAGCACGTCAGGAATTGCTTGAACCAATGACCCAAGAGTGGGTGGAACAATTTGAACCATTAAAACTAATATTAAAGAAAGTTTGGTCTAAAAATACAGTTTAAGAGTGCCAAAAAACCCCCCACCAAGGGTAGTTCTCTCAGCTGGACTGACTGAGTAGTTAGTTCTGGTTGGTAAGAACTAGAAGGGTGTTAATGTTCTGGGAGATTAAAACACACCTGTATATTTTAATAAAGGTGGTGTTTTCTTTTAAGTCTAGCTACTTAAGTTAGGAATCCGAGTAATTCTTGCACAATTCTTGCTCTAGAACCTCTACTTGCAGGCATGGACAGATGTTAAATAGAGTTCTCACAGTGTTCAGCAGCTTCTGAGCCTGCAGTGCAATTATTGTTAATAATCAGGCATGTACGACTGTATGAACAACACACGGTACAACAGACCTACAAAGGCTAGGAAATACAGAATTGAGGCTGAAACTTGCAATTAGGCACAACATGTTCATGAACTGTAAGATCACTTAATAGTTACAGACACCTCTCACAGTGTCTGGTCATGAAAGAAAGAGCTGATTGTGGTTTTATCTTGGCTCTGGATTTCCTTGCTTCTGCGGATGCAAATCAGACCTTCAGTATGAAATGAGAAGTAATTTGTTATGTTCACTTTTCTTGTTTTCCCATTCTTTGATAAGGGGGCAAAACCAGAGGGAAATAAATGTTCGATGGGATCCTAAGTTCCCACAGTACAAATACTGTCTGTAGTAATAACAAGGGGGTTTGGAATAGAACAGTAAAAAGCACTTGCATTTTGTGTAACAGATTTAACATACATTCACAACATACACTGTTACCCCCACAGTGTAATCTGTGACTGCATTAAATGCAACATGACTGCACAATGACATGTCTCAATCATTTTTTGGACAACAGATAGAGCCAATATCTGGATTCAGGGTTTTTTTGTGAAGAGATGCCAGTTCGAACCTTGGACCAACAGCCTATGAGTTTGGGATTTTAAAATTATATGATAGAGATGCGAGAATGCATCTAGAAATTAATAAGGATTTTTTTATCTGCACATCTGTACTTTAAAATAACTACCTCCAAGGTCAACATTTTATTAAATTATTTTCAGTCTAGAGAAAGTGCTGTAAATAATGCAAACTCCTGAAAAATAGGAGTTTCTACAGAAAATATAGACAAACATAGACCTAGCCCCAGTGGATGCTAGTATGCTACTGTACATTTTGTCTTGGATTTAACAAAGCAAGTAAATCAAATCTAGAGCTTTAACCCCCACAGAGTGTTACTGATGAAGACAAGGACATGAGTTATTTGAGTAAGTAATCATCACCCATACCAGCCATGTCATTTCACAACAGGCTCTGCAGGTGTAGAGTTGGAAAGATCTCCATTGCTTGCTTTACCAGATTCTTCTACAAAGATAAAAAAAAAAAGGGATGGATCATGTTTAACACTCTATTTGAAACAAAACCCCTCGAATTCTAGCATATATATATATATGAGATGCTGATGTCACAGGAACACCTCATGCTGTATTTCATGGTCAGCATATGCAACCTGACCTTGCAGCACAAGAAGTCCTGGCCCTATGAAGAAATTCATATTTGGGGTGAAAAGCTCTTCAATCAGCAGTACTTGTCTAAAAATTACATATACAATGCTCACACATTTTTCAGACTCCAAGTCCAAAGATCATGGCAGAGGGCATAGATATTATTACCATGTTCAAAACTTTCCACTCTGATATGCATTTCCAGCTTTTCTCCCTGCAAAACACATTGCCTGGGGAACTGAACAGGTACCACAACAGAGAATATTTGCCTAAAACACAATTAGCTGATGTTCTCCAGAATGGTCTCCTACAAAGTCCAGAGCAGCATGTCTATTCTTCCTACAGTGCTTGGAGTTCTTTGAATTTGGGTTTGTTTTTTTTCTTGCACTGAATATTTATCTGAGCAACTTCAGTGATTATGATAAAATATAAACTAATGTTAAAAGAATTTTTCTTTACAAACTGTTTTTCTAGTGCAGAAGAAAATTAATCTTTTTCTCCAGTGACTATAATATCACAGGTCACCTGTGCCTTTGTCAGAAGTACAGTGGAGAATTATTTACCAATTCAGTTTTTAACATACTACTATTCCCTGAGTTTCTAAGTAACTAGTGCCCAAACTGCATTTCTGTATCAAACATCGTTAATATCTACAGTAATTGCATAATCTGCTATGTAAGTTGAAAGCCACCTGGTACAACAGGTGAAAACCACTTTAGCACCACCTAAGGTTGTCATTCTCAACACTGGTAACTGAAGAGGTAAGCATGATGCTGAAGTTACTGAACTTAATGTTACTGCAAGTATGCAATTTTCCCTGTCCCAGGCTGTTTTCATCAGTTGGGTCTTCTGTGGTGTTGTTTCGGTTTTTTTTTCCACACCCCAAAAGCCCAGCTTGAAATTCACCTATTCCAAAGGACTTCTTGAGCTGTTCTTGCTGAGTCTAAATCACCCATGACCTCATAAACCTCTCTCTGGAATACTCAGTCAACCTATGAGCAAGAAAGCAGCTACAAAAAAACCCCTCTATTAAGGCACACAATCTCATTAACCAAAATGTTCTACATATAGGATTCACTCACCTTCTTTTTCTTTCTTTTCCTGACTTTCTTCTGCTGCAGTTTTATCTGCTCTGAAAAAAATTCTTGCACTACTTAGTGAGAAATATAGGAGTTCAAATTCCTAAGGGAAAAGAAAAGAGGCACATCAGTGTATCACAAATTTGTAGACAAATATCAATGGGATTTTTTATGAGCATCTTAGGCTCCTAGATTTCAGTATCTAAATCACTTAAATGCTCTTGAAAATCTTCCCCCTTTCATTCCTTATTCACATTCATTTTACAAAGCAAATGTCAAATTACATTAAAGGGCAACCTAAGGAAAGCAGCATCACTGCAATAAATCTGTCACTGATCTACTAAGGCTGAAAATGAGGTTTGTAGCAGCAGTGACAACAGAGCAACTAGCCCATGGAAAATCATGCAGCCAGTAGTTTAAACAACCACAAGCCTGATCAGTATCTGAACAAGGTTCAGTGATACAGAGGCATACAGGGCCTTATCTATTCCAATAAGACATTACAGAATGTAATCACGGGCTGCAAAAGTAGCCATCGATGGATTTGTCCCATAGGCTTCTCCAATCAAGAGAGAGAAAGCAGCACACCACAGATGAAACCTGAGCTGCTGTGCTCCAAAATTCAAATGCACCTTTCCTCTATTTGATAGCTAATGCACCATTCAATTTATCAGCTCAGAATTAACACACGGGCAGCTCTAAGGGTTCACAGTTATGTGCAATCCTTGTTATAAGAAGTTCAACCAGAAGATATTCTCTCCTATTTAAGCATGTATGGTTTAGTTGCATTAGATTTCAAATTCCATGGGACAATGAATTCCAATGAAACAGGTCTTCAAATATCACAAAAACCAATGATATTCTCCTCAGGTCATACACCAAGTCTTTATGCTCTTTTTGCACTGTTGCTGCAGTCAGTGCTCAGGATATTGCGCTCTCAATGAGCTCCATCAGAACAGTCACATGATTTGTGATGAATAAGTGCTGAACCCAGAACAGAAATTGTTACCAGGACACATAACCAGGCCCATGTTGTACCTGTAAACAAACTTCCAGTCGCTTCTGGGTAAGGTTCATAGTCTGTAGTAGTTTTTCATCTTGATTAGTGGACTGCACGTTCTGTTGCTTAGCTACTGCTCTTATTTCCTTCACATACTTCTCTCTAACAGACTGGAACCAGTGCAGAGAATCAAACTCCTGGTACTGATCCAAAAGCTTCAGAATGTAAGCCACACCTAGTCATTAACAAACCATGTACTGAAGTCAACATGCAATTAGCAAAATATTTTGTGAATGTTTTCAATGGATGAGCCTAAGTTAATAATTCCATGCAAATATAACTTAAATTGTTATTAACTTACAATTAATCTATCAGGAAAAGTCACAATAAAGAACACACTTAAATTTTTTAAAAACATCACTTCTCCAAATACTTGCATTCCTTGTCATATGGATGAGAACCACAAGCTTGGAAAGCAATTTGGAAGCATCAATATATGTTTAAACTGACTGCTCCCATACACATCTATTCCATGTTTAGGAAATTCTGAACACAACCATAACCCTGAAATCCATTGTGCTGAAACAAAGATAAATCCAAATAAATTATGGAATTTTAAGTTCTGGGCACAGACAAAATATAAACAAAACTTTTCTTGCAAATGTCCATTATGTTGGCTTACCCAAAGGTTAGTGAGAAACTTACCCATGGCAAACCCATCATCAGTGAAAGCTGCTCCACTTTTGTTCTTCTTATTCAACTTCTCCTTGCAACTGATTGAATGCTCCACAAAATTGAGGGTCTGAAAGAACAAAAGGTTGTCTTGGAATCACAAACTCACAAACGTCACAAAGCACTGTCACACATGCTACTGCAGTCTAACACAAACCATTTAAACACAGCCCTGATCTGACAGGAGCGTTTTGAAGCAAGCCCCAGTGCAATGCAGACACTGACCAGGGGCGGAACGATGACGTAGAAGTTCCGCAGGTGCATGTTCTTGGTGCTGCGGAACTCGGGGGCGAACACATCCACCAGCATTTTGAAGTACTCTGTTCCCTCCGCAAAGTTCCGGGTCAGGTCACCGAGCACAGAGTCCA